TTTTTTTTTTTTTTTTTGAAATGGCTCTACTTTGGCTGCAATTTTAATGCCATCTAATTTCCCTAGGATACTAAGGATCTACATTAAAAATCATTAAATAAATCCATTGTGAAGCAAAACAATTTTTTCCCCAATTCATGGAAGGGAGGGGGGCTACGCAATCTTTGACATTTCATTAAAATATCCACCAAAGATTTTTGTGAATGTTTTTTTATTTACATGTATCTAGAAGCAGATACATAAATTCTTATACAATTTTTTCAAAAAATGTGCAAGAAATTACTATAATCTTTTTAACAAACCAAAACACATTTAAAATCAATGGACTTTGGATAATTCATTCTGTTGTGTGCTTAGTACAAATAGTGCACACATTATTGAAACATACAGAAAAGTGTAAACTACAGCAATCTGGATTTTAAGTATTAATTTCATGGCACTCCATCACCACTATAAATTTTTTTCCCAATACACAGTAATACAAAATTTGATAATTCCCTCCCCTCCCATTATTGGTGTAAAGAGTTTGAATAATTTTCCAAATACTTCAAACTTTACAGTATTTTGGTTTTTTTAGGAACTATCCCAACTTTGTCAACAAATGTATAATTCACATTTTATAACATTTAAAGTTTACAATACTAATGGATTGCTGATGTAATTATATTTTAGCTTATTAAAATTTCAGTTATGTGGCTGAAGACCATTCCTTATTGGAATTCACAGTCAGTATATTGCTGGTATTTTTGATTTTATTTAACAATTCCAATATTTACATATTAAGAAATGCATTTCTGTGAAAAACAGTATATTTGTAAAGTTCACCAGTTAGGTTTTATAAGGAGATAAGCACATTGATGAACAATAAAGATACCTGGGGCTAATTTTTAAATCCCATTCTTGGGTTTACAAGATTTTATATCCAGAATTAAACATTGACAACAGGATGGAAATAAGTAAAGTTCTACTGTAATCCCTTCCTCCAGATCATCACTGGGATAAAATTAGAGAATGTGATCGTTATTCAAAACTTATAAGGAAAAATGCATCATCTGAATTTCCAGCTCTATCAAAGATTTCCTTTTTACCCAATGATCTAAGTAAATTCAGAGATAATAGTAAATTATCTGATAACAAATTTACTGATAATAGCAGCTGGAACCTGCATTCCCTTTCACTCAAGCAATCCAATCTAAATTAAACTACTCTGTAAAAAGGCAAATTCTGTTTTTGCAGTTACAGATGTTTTGAAATATATTGAGAGCATCACTACTTTTAATTCCAATTCTACAATACGTAAGATTTTCCATTGGAAAAAAAAATTCCCCACATCAAAGATCTGGATTTAGGTGAAACATCCTTTGAAGTTTATCATGATACTCTTTGTGAGCTGTGTGACAAGATCCTTGAAATATGAAAACCATCGTTTTGGCTCTGTTCAGTGAATTCCTGTAAGACATTATGTCCAGTGCTGATAATCACAGAAGGCAGTCTTATACTTGGTGTGTAAGATTTAAGTATGTGTTTTTGCTTTATGAACAGACAATAAGAAGTATCCATTTGCGTGGTTTGGGGAGCTACTGAAATAAGTAACATTTGAGACTATGGCATTCTGTTTATAGACCAGGAGTAGGCAACCTTGGCTCTTTTATGACTCATGGACTTCAGCATAGCTGACTCAGGAATTCTGGGAGTTGAAGTCCATGAGTCATAAAAGAGCCGAGGTTGCCTACTCCTGTTATAGACCAAATGTAAAGCATTGGCTAATATATATTATATGGAAAAGAGAAACAGAAACTTGCTGCTTGTACATGAACCAATGTGCCAGATTTTCTACCTCACAGATAAATATATATAGCACTCTCTCTTTCCCTCATAGATAGATAAGATAGTGATAGATAGATAGATAGATAGATAGATAGATAGATAGATAGATAGATAGATAGATAGAGCTTTTTATCTCTATTGTCTTCATATGCTATTTCTGAAAATTTCTAATTCAAAATTATTTTCTAATTTATTAAAGATAACAGTTAGATAAGGGACAGATATATCTCAGCAACGCTGAAAATAACTGTTGCCTCTAACAATTTAATCTATTAAAAGATTTGGCAATTTTTTTAAAGATTCTCTTATTTTTTAAATCAATCTGAATTCTTCTAAGTGTGCATGTAGGTTGGTCATTTATTTCTCTTACAATCTACAAAAATTGATCACTTTAGACTCAGGATTTCTTTACTGCAGCTCTCATAAAAAAAACATTTTTTTTGGTGAATGCAGAGAAATGCAACCATAAAAGCAACTTTTGTTATTGCTCTATTTTTATGATTAACTTTGTTACACAGTGGTTTTTTGTTATTTTACTCTTCCTCTACTGTAACTTTTAAAAAAAATTGTTACTAATATTTTCCAATTGCATTTATTAACTCAAAGTAGACTAATATGCAGGTTACAGTATTTTTTTAAAAAAATAATCAAATTTAGGTTTATATTAATACTGTCAGAATGGACTTGTTTCTTCTGTCAACATTTCAATAGCACGAACGAATAGAATCTAAATTTCTCATTGTGTTACAAGAAATGTTAGGCAACTAAGATTTTCCATCTTGAGAGTGCCCCTTTTCTTAAATATAAGCATTTCTTCTTAAAATTTACTAAACATGTAATAGCCAATGTGATCTCAAGCAATGTAATATTTGAAAGAAAAATACAATTTTGTGGCAGCACTTTTTGTAAACAGGTATTTCCATGTTTCAGGAGTTGTTCTGAATTGTCACACTGAATAAGGGAGTACTTGCTAACAGAAATAGGTAGAAGAACAGAAAGCAACATATACGTATGGCTAAAAGATACGTGCTTTCTACAATGATTAAACAAGCAAGAAAGGCAATTCACGAGAAAGTTTTGATGACATTTTCAATCAAAAGTCATTGCAGAATTTGCCATTCTTTTTTTAATTTAATGTGCAACATACTACTTATCAACATACACAGAGAGAGATACAGCAAAGATCTTAATTGGCACAATGAAGATTAGGATGTTCAAAGCAATGTCAGTAACTGCTTGTCTTACTATCTTAAAAGAGCTGCTGCTCAGAAGACCTAGGTGGATTACTTCTCAAGTGTTTCCCAACTTTCTACCTAACCAGGAGCTGCCATAGCCAACCAAAGCAGAAAACAAAGATAGTATTGCCTTTGCTAGGTTGTCTGTTCATCAGCCTGGAAGAACAAAATAGATCTGCTCCTACTGATGTACAATTCTTGCTCAGCCAAATGCAGGTGGCTCAAGGCTCGTTCCTGCTGTCAGTTTTACTCATTATTGTTTAGTGAATGAGGGACTAGTGCATGACATTGGCTGTAGCTATTCTAGTCTGGCTCTCTGGAAAATGAGGGGCAGACAGAAAGGTTAAGCAGGGTACTAAAGAAAGATCTTCTCATTCACATTGCCATTTGTTAACATATGGTGTCTTTCCTAGTTCTATATTATGAGAAAAAACTTGTTTATTCTGTGAGGGATACGACTAAGCGTGCAATACAAATAGTAATGAACTGAAGATGTAAAAAGATGGTGACAAATGCAAGCAAGCAGGTTCAGTGTCTACCATACAGCCGGAAATATGATCGGGCTATTAAAAATCTAAATATGGAATTGTAATACCACCATTAATCAAATTTAATTGAATTCCTCAAATCATTCTTTGTTAAATACTGGAATTTTTTAAAAAAACTGTGATAATATACATTAGTTACTCCAGAGAACTTTCTTCATCTACCACTAACTAAACAGTCCTTTATTTAACATATCCTAGAGACAAGGATTTTACTCTAACATGTACTTTCCTACTGTAGAAAAAAAAATTCCTTTTCTTCACTAGGCAAAACATGGTACCATCATATATCATTGTGCCTTTTATATATAAAATTTGTAATCTTGCTTGGGAGTAAAAAGTAAAAAAACAAAAATGAAGATTTTGCATAAATATCAGAATGGCAAAGCCAAGATACACACATAGAAAACGTTCGCCCAGGAATTTAAGAACATCTCTCTTTATATAATTTATTTTTCAAAATCTATTATTCTGTAACTTAGTAAGAGAGCTGTTTCCCCCCTCTATATCCCAGAGCAAAAGACATACTTTGTCTCTGATACTCTCTTAAACATTATGATCTAAAAAATATTTTTTTAAAAAAATAGAAATTTAGCATATTGACTCACACAACCCAAGATGTCAGGCCACTGCAGTACCTTCATATGTTAATTGTATAAATTCAAAAAAACCACAAAAAAGGTAGAAGCAGGAGTGAAATACCTTAAAATAAAGATTTCTCAAATTTTCATCACCCTTTAAATGTTTTAATAATCTGCAAAATATTCAGTATTCAAATGAGAAAATGCAAACAAAAATGAAAGACACATTGCAGTGGCACAAACTAATTTCTTTAACTTTAAAACCACACTCTCAAATTGCATGATTTTATTCAGAAATTTCAGAATACAATTTCCTACTTGTTAAGATTTTGGTTCACAGAAATTCTTATAAACGTAAGAATACTTTGCTTCCACAGTATAATGTTCATCATGGAAAAACTTGCAGAAATAGTCTTTTGACCACAAATATTTTTAAACAGTTAGGCTGTAATTCTTTATAAACATATTGGATTTTTTTCTACAAAAACATACACAAAACAACACCATCAGACTTAAAGCCTACTGAAGGCAATGGAGCCAATTAACATCAACTTTCCCCAATTTTTCATCAAAACAGGAGAAGGCCTTTGTCAAGACTGAGTCCAGGCTGTAAAACAGCCTCATTTATAGGCCTTCCAATTCATTGGAAATTTCTCCTATGCAGACCCCACTAAAGTGAGAGAAAATAATATACTGAGGCTGTGGAAATCCTATTGTTCCTGGCAGATTATCCCATTATAAGTATCCAAAATTGTATGGATTTTCCTTTTTTCACATAAGAACTTGTACCCACTTGAATATTTCCTATGGTGACTATTTTGCTATTTAATGTCATTGTCTTTAATTTTAAAACATGCATTTTTATTTTAAAGAGTAATAATCGGAGGTTAATTTAGGTTCTGGTCACTTGCCAATTAAACTAAATTATAACGATGGAAAATTAATGCTGAACAATAAAGTACATTTAAAACTGAGGCCATATTCTATCAAAGTTAAGTACTTCTTAATCTTATCATTTTCCATGGGAAAAGGTTATACATGTGGTTAACTCATCCAAGGAAATTAATGGAATTTAAATTCCCTTTAAGATGAGCTGTTTAAGGTCCAATTGTTGGTAGTAATTGCAGGATACAGGTAGAACTGGAACCAGATTTCTGTTAATAAACAAGGTAGTGGTTCTGCCCAATGTTGTTATCTTTTTTGTTATTATCTTTTATTAAAAGAATCACTACAGTTAAGTAACCCATGTAGTCATTAACAGAATCTGGCTTCCCCCATGACACAAATGTCATAAATGGCATTCACATGACCCCATGATGCTGTAAATGTCATAAATATACTGGTGTACAGGTAGCCAAGCAACTGAATTTTGATCATGTGACCATGGGGATGCTGTGTCCTAACTGCAAGGACCAGTTGTCCATTGTTTTTTTCAGTGTCATAACTAAATGAATGGTTGTAAATTAAGGACTACCTGTACTTTTAAATTCAATGCCACATATTTTTAAAGTTTCAATGGGGACAAATCTCACAGTTCTGAAGTTACCTGAATAGTTTTATTTAAATCAGATTTCTATAACCCCTTCAAATATTTTTAAAATGTTTTAATTTAAGTATATTTAGCTTTTGTCTGAATATTATTAATGACTTTCAGTATTTATTTTACAAATGTTTTTCAACGGCTATTTTCAAATTTAAAAATGCTTAAGAATGAACAAAAGAAACAAAGCAACATCTGCAATAATGGAACTGCTTAGGAGAAAGGAAGCTTTCAAAATATATGATGCAAACTGTATTGGATCACATATTCCCTCCAACCAACAGTTATACGTTTTTAATTAGATATTAGGGAATTGTTTTAAGCATGTATCCAAGTTCGGTACACCAGTATATTTTACCCCCGACATTTTTTTAAATTAAGAACAAACAAAAAAAAAAACCCAGACCATTTGAAAATGACAAAATATATCCCATCAAGTTTCAATTTTTTACTTATGGTCGAAAACACATGAAATGTGCTTCAAATGCATAAAAATCACAGTGGATTAGCAGCAAAGGAGATGGGGAGTTCAAGGACAATGTTTATCATTCACATTGTGATTATTTTGCACACTGAATGAAAGATAGTTATTTTACTCTTCTAAAAAACCCTTTGACATCATTGTTTTAGAAAAGAAAACCCCCAAATATCATTAAACTCAAAATGCATTACTCTTCTTTATGCACAAAAATGAAATTATGGCAGCAAAAAAACCCTAGTAATAATTAAGTTTGTAAACTGTGTATCAACCGCTCTCTTTTTAATTTTTTGTTGTTGTTCTTATTCCCAAAGTGCAAGCTGCAAGTTTCCCATAAGCCTTCAGTAGTGCTTTTCTTGTAAATAATCCTTCATTTTGTTTGGCAAAGGCAGTTTCTGAATCAGATCTATTCTAGTGTACTGACGTATAACAAATCGACACAGATACTGCAAGGAACGCACTTGCATGAAACGAGATACTGGATTGGTTAGTCTCACTGGGTAAGTTGTAGATCCAGGTAATCGAGATCTCGAATAGCAAAATGCACCATTTTCAGAGTCCCTAATTGAGTGTTCAATTAGGTCAACTATAGAAGTATGTCCTTCCACATCTGGTTGTTCGTAAAAGCTAAACCTACCATTTGAATGCTCAATTCTAGTATGAAGTGTTTTACCATGAGAACGGAAACTCAGACTTAAAAGGTAACGGTCGTCAGAGCTGTCTCGCACAAGAAATGAACCGTCAGGAACATTAGCCAATTTTCCCTCGGCTTCCCATCGTGTAATTGGACCCCAGTACCATCCTTGTTTTGCCAGTTTTTTTAGTTCTTCTGTGAGACTTGTTACAACCATCGGGCCACTATTTTGTACAGAATCGTAGACTCTTGCAACTCCAGGCGCAGAGTTAGGATCAAAATTCAAATGGCAGCGCATACTTTCAGCCACATGAGCATCTGTGCCATTCAGGCTGTTAAAGTTCCTTTGGATTTGATTATTCTGTATTGGAGGTAGCAATGGCGAGAGCGGAGGAACATCATTAACTCTTGGACTTTGCAACATGATTCCTGTTGTACCAATCAATAAACCATTTACTGCTTGGTCCACAAAGATATCCGGAGCAACTACTACGTCTTGATTCACTGAACCCTCTTCTTCGTGAAATGTACTACTACCCATCTGAGAAGAAACAGTTGAAACCTCCATGGGTGAGGAACTATCCAGACAGTAACTACGTGATCCTTCCAAAGGATACATTCCCTCATCTAAAGGCACAGTGTACTGAATGTAGTCCTGAGGCATAAGTCCAATAACTACAGGCACGTGTTCATCAATATGAAGATGCAAATCTCCATTCTGAGATTCTGTACTTTTGAATGCACTGTTTTGTTCGTGGAACCTGCTGTCTGGCTGCAAGTCGTGGAAATCTTTACGAACACCATTCAGTGCAGGACTTGGGTTTGAAGAGTGGACCAAGGCCTTTACTTTCACTTCCATTTTTATACATGTTTCTTCTGAGTTTGTTGGCCGAAGGGGCCATGGTGTTGGACTGTAATGGTGGTTTCGGAGGGATGTGGATCGAAGAGGTCTTTGAGCTCTTACATCTTTGAAAGCTATTGGAGCAGAAGAAGAAGAAAAGGTATCTTCATCAGCAGAGCTCACGGATGGCGTGCTCCCCTTTCCACCTTTTTGCTTCTGTTTTGCTGAAAGTCGTCTTTTTAATGTACCCATTAAGCTTTCAGGCTTTGATCTGTTTTTGCCACCTTTCTCGTCTTCGCTGTTGATGTCACAACTAGCCAAATCTTTACTATAACAGCTGGCAAACATGGAGTCATCTTTTCCAAAATCATTTAATGATGGCTGTGCAACCACAACGAAGTCACTGTCATCTTTGCTTTTATTTAAGTTAAAAGATTTGCGGATGGTCTTGAGACTAATTTTCTTCATTGTGAAATGCAGCAATTCTGGAAGGGTTTTTATTTATTCTTTACTGTTCCAGAGATCTGTCCCTAAAACGTATGAAGCAGATGCTTCCACATTGATGCGTCTTATCCAGACTCATTAACTCTCAAGACCCATTTCCTGAAAACAAACAAACAAAGAATAAATTTCATGCAGGATATGATTTGTATAGTAGATTAGATTAGTAAAGAAATTTGAACAACCAAAATAGAAACTAACAAAATCAGCAAAGCACAATTAATATCAACATTATTAATGATCAATAAGGGGGTAATTTATTCAGCAAAGTTTATTTCATATATTATGTTAAGCTTTGTTCTGTTGGTTTATTCTTTGTTTCTCATATTTTGGGTTAGGACATATTACAGTTCAGACAACTGTCATCAAACTGTACATTCACATATTTCATAGCTATTATTTTACATCATTTTTCTTCTGTTTCTATTAGCTTTAATACTATAGTGCTAAAATGACCAAACTGGCAAATCTCAGTTGGTGCCTGTCCAATAAATTGAATTTTAAAATATGCTTTTTCTTCTGATTATAATCTGAAAGAAGATAACCATTTCATTGTTTCAGACACTTATTAAATTTGGCAAGTATTTTCTATAATCATCCCAAATTGAAGAGGCTTATGGTTAAAAGCATTAGCCTATAATTTGTTTGGATGTCCAATCTGATAGGCATCTGGACCTCACACATGTAAGGCCTCTCTAAGAAAAAATGAGGCAAAGAAGAAAGCCCAATAAGAAAAAGGAAATGCAACTCTGTGATTGATAATTTTGCTTCCAATAAGCAAATTACTTTACACAAGCTCTCTTTTTCATGTCCAACAGCCATGTTCTCTGGAATAATATAAATAATTGCAGTAATAGTAACTGTAGAAAATATATTAAAGGATATATACAGGATATATATATTAAACACCATACAGTAATACAAGTCAAAACCAAATCACACTATATATCCAAAATTCTAAGACATGCTAACCACAGCGTGCCCCTCCAATGTACTCGAAAACAAGATATTGAGAGGGAATTACATAACTATGAAATGTGTTATTGCTTATAAAGAAGTAGCAGTCATGGAGATAAAAGATTCAATTACGGTATGTAGGAAGAGGATTAATACTATTTCTTTGTGCCAGGCTCCTTTTGAAAACTTCCTTCTCAAAGCTGGTATTGTGTCAGGAAAAAATAGCTATTGATACAGCTTTTCTTCTACATAAACAGCTTTAGGGAAAAGGCTGACGAGTCAAGGCATGGCATGGTATAAAAACTTACGTCCTTTTTTATTACTATTTAAATTATATATTTTAGCAGTAAAGAGGCAAGCTATAATGATTTACTAATTTATTGCATCTGAACATCTCTCTCATATATCATATCTGCGATTTTAATGCTAAGTTAAAATATATATTTGGAGGGCTATTAGTTTTACTGCAATTGTGCCAATTTACTTAATGAGTAGATATAGAAAATACCAAATTGATTTCTAATACAATTCACAGTGTGAACCACAATGTGAAACACATACACTTATCTTATTTCTTTAATGGCTCTAAAATGACCCAAGAGCAAGTATTCACAATATCATTATCTGCAGAGCAACCTTGTATATGCCAGGAAGTTTGGATTACCTCTGAGAGACAATGCCTTGTAAGTAATTTCAGCTGTAATCCAAAACCACTGATAGTAAAAACAAACAAACAAACCTATAGTAATTGGATTTGGCTTTCTGCTTACAAACTATCAGCTTACATGTTTAGTATATAACTTTGCAAGTAACGTTAAGACCCCAATGATTTTTCAAGTATGCCTAAATGAAAACTGCATGTTTGTATTAAAATGAAAAGAACTACCTAGCTATTGAGACTAGCTACACTGGAAAAATTAATCAATACTTTCCTGTTTAAACTCAGTGCAATGATGGTGAAAAATATCAAATACAAAACTTCAGGAAAGTTTCAGGAGAATCTTAGTGGATTAGGAAAAATTCTCAACTTCCACATAGTCAATAATAGAAAACAAATCTGGGTTGCCTATCCTACTAAACTGTGGCTACCATTAGTCATTCCACTATTATGGCCTAGATCGGGGTCTACAACCCCTGGTTCGTGGACTGGCACCAGTCCACGGCATACCATCAACCGGGCCACCCAAACAAGCAAAGCTCCATCCACAGGATGCAGGCAGCATGTTAAACCATACCCCCTCCAGTCCACAGAAAAACCTTTCTCCATGGAACCGGTCCCTGATGCCAAAAGGTTGGAGGCCACTGGCCTAGATGTTTTAAAGTAATTCCTCAAAATCTGTAAGAATATTTGAAATTTTGCAAATCCCATTCTGAATTTTTGCAAGCCTGAAGAAAATACATGGAATACTGGCATGCTCATGCAATAGGTTGTGGTTCTCATGAGAGCTGAGCCACATTTAATTTTTTCAGTTTTAAAAATTATTTTAAGCAACATACATACATACATACACACCCCATGCTAGTCTCATTTGTGACAAGCAGTATTATGCAAAACAGAGAAAAGAGTAGAAAACAACAAGCAAAATGAATTAAATACATTAAATATCAATCCAATTCGTTATAATTTTCCATATCTTTCTATCCTTGCAAACCATCCTTGCTTCCAATGTACTGCAGGTACTTGTTAGCTGTGGGATGCAGGTAAAATATGGCTAAGTTCTCATGAGAACCACAGCCTATTGCATGAGCACTCCAGCATTCCATATATTTTCTTTTTGCAGGAATTGGGATTTGCAGAATTTCGAATATTCTGACTTACCCAATAGTTTCTAGTTTAGGGATCCTAGCTTCCACAGAATCATATAAGCATGCTTGTGGCTCTTTATGTAGAACTGGGTTTCATTTGTGCTTGTGGCATTCTGGCTGTAATTTTCAAAATTGACCAGTGCTATAATTATTATTGGTAGGAAATGCTACCATGTGACATAAGTCCAGTTATGTCTGAAAACCCAGTGTATGTCTTCCTATTTACTAAAAAAAAAAGTAGAATAATATTTTTAATTTATTTATGGAAGTTTGTGAACACTATTGGAGAAGGAATATTGCTCCAGCAATGTGTTATAACTCCTGCTTTAGGATTATTTCCATAAAAATATCTTTAGAAAGGTTAGACATATTTCAAAATAATAACAAGCACAGACTTTGTAAAACAAATGCCATAAGGTCCTGTGCATAGCCACTGACAGCCTTGCAACACTGCAACTAACTGCAATTTTTAAAGATTCTTCCAAATTAGCCATATAATTTGATCTGGTGTCTTTTTTAATCATGTAAGTACAGACATTTTTTTAATACAAAAGTTATTACTTGTTATATTAACTATTTATTATCAATAATAGTTTCTGTAATTAATAAGTGCATAATCATTTCTTGTAAATTATTTAAATATTGTGATACATTATTAGTAGAAATTAATTAACTTTGGGGCCCTAAATTTTATTTTGCTTAAGGTTCATGCAAACGAAGTGCCACTGCACTCAATGCTTCTTTTAAAGCAAAGATTTCCATGGTGTCTAAATCTGCCTTCAAACTGTTAACTATAATGTCTCCTATTAAATACCCAGATATTAAAATATGCATATGTCATCAGTCAGATCGTCACACTTCACCTCCACACAGCTTTGTTAAGATAATTTAGTTCTCTATCATCTCAGCACTGTTTTATTTGCTAAGATTTTTCAGAACTTTGAAAGCAAGTAACAGCCTTGCATGCGTGGCTGATTTTGAAAAAGCTAACCAGGGTCAGACTCGGATATGAGACCACCAGGAAATCCCAAGGCTACGAGGAAAAAAAAAACCTTAGAAGTAAGAGAGCAAATTAAAGCCACACTGTTAACTAAACAAACAGCTATTTCCATATAGTTCCCAAGACTATATAGGCAGTCCTTGACTTCTGACAGTTTAACTATGGTTCAAAGTTACAAATGCCTTGGGAAAAAATGATTTATGACCTCTATTCGCATATATGAACATCACAGCATCGCCACGGTCATATGACTGCAATTTGGGTTCTTGGCCACTGACTCACATTTATGACCATTTGCAGCATCCTGTAGTCATGTGATAACTGTGTGATTTGGCTTAATGACCGTGCTGAATTGTCTTTACTTAGCAATCATCACAAAATTGTTGTAAAATTACTCATCTTATGACCACAACAACTTATGGTGGAAATTCAAGTCCAATTGTGGTTGTAAGCTGAGGACAACCCATTGCTTGACTTACCGCATTGTGACAGCATACAGCACAATAAGACCAGTTTACTATTTGGATTGAAGGTTACCAGGAAATTCCGAAATTATAGCCCAGACCAGAAAGTTAAAAACAATCCTGAAGAACTCCCATATTTTTGCCAGGATAAATAAGTGGATGTGTAATTTATTGACTGGGTTGCATGCTGCTTTCATTACCAGACTAACTCTAGGTAAGAAGTATTCATTTTATTTATCTGTCAAATTTATATAGCTGTCCATCTCTCAAAAAGTTGGTGATAAGTTGATGCCACTTGTTTCTGATACTTTTGGTGTCAAAATTATGCTTGAACTTGGACTTGCAAACCTGAAGGCTATTATTCCATAAAGAAGATAATAATAAATAAAAATAAAGTAGATATCTAAATTTAATTTGAAATGAATTAAAAGTAAATTCATACAGTTAAAATGATTGCTCTTATTGTATTTTAAAATATCCCCAGATCTGGGGAGTTTATTCAAGGCTCTGTGGGTCCTTTGATTGTGTCTCTTTGTTCTGTCATTCTTTATCCGTTTTGAATACTGAATATGCAACTTAGGATATTCATCTATAAAATATTGTCAATTAACAGATATTGTTACATATTCCATGAAAGCACAATGCTTGAAAAATTAGCTTGCTGCTCATTCGGCATCTGTTTGACTGTTGACAGTGAAATGATTTTTATAAATGTCCGGAGTACGTTTTGTTTGCTTTATCATAAAATATCAAAGCAATTATAACTTGTTTTTTTTTTTTAAAAGCTCAACTAATAAAAAGGAAGAAATTTAATACGCCATTTGGATATTTTCATGTGGTTCCATATAAGAACCATCAGCAAATATAAGTGGACG